GTGGGAAGTCCCTTAGCTTAAAGTTGAATTACCAATTTTCCTTTCACTTGAACATATTTGAATATATATAACATTATATGAAGAAAAAAACATAATATTTTATTTACCTAAAAAATAAATTCACATTTCAATCACAATAATTAGGATGATTGAAAAGACAACGAAACTTACATTTAAATCAACATGAATAGGGTAAGCAAAACGCCAATTAAAAGTAATAAATCTTTTTGAAGTAAAATCTATATTTTCTAGCACGGATTTTTAATTATAATGCAGTTTCAGTCTGGATATTCTCTAGTATTTTTTTCCTTTCTCTATTTTATTAATCTTTATTTGTTCCCTTTTTTCTTTATTTTTCCTTAGCTTGTTTTTCATTTTTGAAAAGGCTAAATTTCAACAATAAATATGATGAAAGTATATAATTTCCAGGTAACAGTAAAATAGATTTTACCTTTGAGACGCATGGTATTTTTCGTAGCTATAAATTTTTTTATGTAATATATTTGTTCTCATGTTTCACAGATAGGCTTTTAGATTGTATAAGTCATCATTTTCTCTTATAAGAGTTTTTTCTTCTCCTATTTAATTTTTGGGGATTCTTTATTTCCAATTAATTATTGAAGATGAAGAATTCATGAGTTAGAGAACATATTTTAATCTTTCTATGTATTTAGATATTTTATTCAAAATCTTTATTATTTTCTCTTGAGTTTGGATTTGTAACTTTTTTTTCTTTAAATTATACATGACTCATCACAAACATGTTTATGATGTTATTATTGGATCGTCTTTTTTTGTTACTTTGTTAATTTACTTTAATGTTTATTATAAATTAAATTTGAGCTAAAAGATATTAATTATTTTTACTATTCAAATAGAGTGTTGAATTTTCAAAAATACTGAAACATCATATCATCAAAAGCTAACACAAATAGTGTTATATTTTATATAAATACAATAAAATATACTCATATGTAGACCAGTGGACCTATTCACAAGCAATTGCATTCTCAAGGCAATCTTATTGTATTGTCGTTAAACTTCGATGTTTAGGTGCTTTTATAAAAAATAAGTCATTTGTTTGGTACATATTTTAGGATCTTTTTGTTGTAGTATGCAGAATATGTAATTGATATTTATATTTCTAATAAATTTGTCTTGTCCCATTGTTATTTCATTAATGGCGTTATATACATTTATTATTCTTATTATTATTTTGCAATCAATTCACCGACATATTCATATATTCTCTTAATTAGTTTCACATATTTCTTCTTTGATAACAAAAACACCATTCTATTTTATGATTTTCAATGAATAAATAAATAGTAAAATCAATATTGTTAATTTCAACATTTTCTATCTTATAGCTCACTTTTAAATAAATAAAAAATTTATAATAATAGTAAGGGACAAATGTGCAACACACATTATCAGAAACTAGTATATATATATATATATATATATAAAAGAACCTTAAGCCCGCCTACGTGGCGCCATCACATACCAGAATTCGCTTTTAATTTTTTTTTCAAAAACTAACCTTTCTGTTTCATGAAAAATTGCGACTTTAATAAAAAGTTGGGACTTTTATAAAAAGTTGTTACTATTATGAAAAGTTGCGACTTTAATGAATAGTTCCGGCTTTTATGAAAAATTGCGACTTTTATGAAAAGTTGTGACCTTTCAGAAGGGGGGGGGGGACAACTTTTTCAAATAGTCGTAACCATTCCGATAAGACACAATAAATATTTGTTCATAATATCATTTGTAGTTTATAAATAGAAAGATTTTATCTCATTATAAAACAACGAAAATTGTGAACCTCTTCTTTTTCTTCTTCTTCTTCTTCACAATTAAATATTTGCGTACTTTATTCATGTTGAGTGACTCATGACACTATTGCTTATGTTACAGGCCGTGGTATGTATTTTTACAGTAATTAATTTATTTTTATGTTATTAAGGATAAATGATAAGATGTAAGAATTTACATTTTTCTTTACATTATTGATCTTTTATAGAAAAATAATATAGTGTTTTAGTGTAGTGACTGATAGGTTTTAAATATTATTTTATATATTTTGTAATATTAAATTATCGCACAAAGTGCGGATAATTTTACTAGTGTATATATATCTCTAAAGACCTCAGGTTAATATCCAATAACAATCACATTCATAATCAAGGTATCTCTAGATATTAACAGGAGTATCAAATGGGCGGGTCGGGTTGAAACTAAAGATATTAAAATGAGTTGAAATAGAATCGGGTTGGGTCTTGACCTGCCCAAGTTTACTTTGGGCTAAAATGGGTTGGGTTCAAATGGGCTAAGAACGGGTTGGGTTTTGAACCACCTAATTTGACCCGATTAATATCAACAATTCTAACATAGTGATATTTAACTTTTATAATCACAATTCGAATTTCAGCTTTAATATTTTTAAAGAAAAGTAACAAATGGATAGATAAATCCTAAAAAGACGTTAAATAGATAATACTTAATACCTTTAATATGAAAATGTATCTTAGACCTCATTTGTTTGAACTTAATGGAGATCTGAATCTTAATCAATCAGATTCAACTCATTAAGCACGTTCGGGTTGTAGGTCTGAATCTGAATGATTCAAATTCAGTTCATTTTTTTTATTTTTTTAAAAATCTCTTAATGGATGTGAAGAGGTCTGAATGAATCAAATTTGTAGGAGACTCTTAACAACATTCAGACTCATTTGATAAGTTATCATATAATAAAGGGAAAAGGGTCTGATATACCCCTCAACTTTGTCATTTGGAGCTGATATACCCCTCGTTATAAAAGTGGCTCATATATGCCCTTACCGTTATACAAACGGCTCACATATACCCCTGCCGTTACAAAATGGCTCATATATACCCTTCATTTAATGGAAGTTAAAAAATTAGTTTTAAATTTATATTTATTATTTGTAATTTTTTCAAAAAAATTATTTAAGGGTATATATAATTCTTCTATCAAAGTTTAAGGTATATTTTAATTTTTTCATATATAAATTATTTTTTGACTTTTTTTATTATAATTATTTGAGTTTCTTATTCTTATTTTGTTTTTTTCTTTCATTCCTTAGTTTAAAGAAAAAAATTTAAACTATCTTTTTTGTGTGTATTGTAATTTAATTTCATATTCGAAGAAAAAATTTGGTCATCTACAATAAGTTTTACAAGAATATTAGTGAAACATAAATAAATTTGATTATCAAAATAATAATTATAAATTAGTCATTGAAACAAAAAAAAGTCAAAAAAATATGTTTAACGAGGATTAAATTTACTCATATGGAATTATAATTTTTAGAAAAAAATAATAATAAAAAGTTATATTAAAGTTGTTGTTCTTCATTTCCGTTATAGAAAAAGGGTATATGTGAGTCATTTTTTTATA